AGCAGGAGGAGGCATCTCGAGAAGGAGGAGGAGGATGAGAAGGAGGAGGAGGAGGAAGAGGAGGGGGAGGAACAGGAGGATGAGAAGGACGAGGAGGACAGACACGCAGGACAAGGTGAACGGCAGGAGGAGGAGGGGGAGCAGAACGAGCAGGACATCAGGAGTAGGCTGAAGGGAAGGAGGGTGAGGAGGAGAAGAAGGGGAGCGGGAGGAAGGGAGGTTCAGGGGGAGCAGGAGGAGGTAGAAGAAGGACAGGGGGAGGTGCAGGAGTAGCATGTTGAGCAGCCGCAGCAGGAGGAGGACATAGGAAGGAAGTCGAAGAGGCAAGGTGGCGAAGAACAAAAGAAACACTCGACGCAAACAAACAAAAATGTTCCCGGCAGGCGTTCCGGGAACATGCTTCGAGAGACCGGGAGAGAGTTCCACAAACAGGCGGGTAAGAAGATGGAGAAGGGGAGCGGGAGGAGGGGGAAGGGGGAGGTGCGGGAGTAGCATGAAGAGCAGCCGCAGCAGGCGGAGGATCAGGGAATGACGATGGAGCAGGGCGGCGAAGAACAAAAAAAACACTCGAGGAATGCAGTTCCTGGCAGTTCCGGGAATATGTTTATATTTCCTGAGACCCAGAGAGAGCTGGACAACCAGAAGAAATGAGGAGCAGGAAGGTGATAAGGCGGACGAGAAGCAGGGTGAGACGCAGTTTTTCAAGCCTGTTGGTGTACGCTTTGGTGTATATCGGGGCCTTTTTTGGCCTCCTGGGCGGCCTGGGCATGTGGAGGGCCTCTGTGAGCTTTTTTTGTTCGCCTCTCGGGGTCCGTGTCGAAACTCCTTTGGGCCGTTTTCGGTGCCTCTTGTGCCGTCTTGGGGCCCTCTTGGGCCGTCGTGGCGGCCGCTTGGAGCTCTCTGGGGCCGTCTTGGTGCGGTGTAGGAGGCGTCGTGGGCCGTCTTGGAGCGCTCTGGGGCTGCCTCCGTCCGAAGGTTAACAAGATGTCGGGGGTCGCCGCTGCCGCCTCGGAGGCCTTGGAACGCCGAAACCATGTAAAACATAAGGAAAGTGAGCCCCTGAGCCCCCATGGGGGGCGCAGGCACACTCCTGGCGGCCTCGCCCGTGTTCCGCCGGCACATATATATATATATATATATATATATGTATATATATATACACATACATACAAACATACATACATACATACATACATACATACATACACGCATGCATGCATGCATGCATGCATGCATACATACATACATATATACATACATACATACATGCATACATACATGTACGTATACATATATACACACTAGATAGATATATGTGTGTATTTGTCTACACATACACATTGGTAGATCTACGGGTTGAGCGAGAGAAGCTAACATGTTTCGCTGAGGAGCGTATGCTTTTCACGTGTTTGTACGAAGCACTCATTGTTTTGTGCATCTACTGTGGAACGGTTCGGTTTATGCACTGGGTACGGGTCTTTCGAAACTTCGCCTTAGTATGTTCGATGTACGATCAAACTGTTGAGCTTTCAATTTGGAACCGTACGCTCCTTCGTGAGAAGTGGATTGCGCTCGTGCTGCCATGCCGACGTTGTACGAGAGTGATTATACACGTAGTAGCGGGTGGTAAAAATAGCAATAGTAGCGCCACTGGCAAGTACTAGTAAGACTGGCAATCATGATTGTAGCGGTCGTAAGAACGGCGTAACAGTAGTAGTTGCAAACAGTGGGGGGATCGCCCACGGATGCCTAGATAACCCCGTGCCCGCAAGACGGGGGGCGGAAACCGAACGACTCGGCGGCGGCAACGGTTGGAGACGTGACTCGTTTGGTCCACCTCTCCCCCCCATGGGTTCCGCTCCCCAGACCCCGAAAAACATGTAACGCCTCCATTGGAAGCGCTGCCCTCGGGATTTGGAGAAGCGCACGTCAACAAAGAAAAAGGCGGTGACCAGAAGACTCTGCGGCGGCAGCACGGGCATACGCGAATCGTTCGGTGCCCGTTTCCCCCCCATTGGATGGTGGGTTCCCTGGTCACCCGAAATATGACACGCCTCCTTTGGAAGCGTTGCCCTCATAGAAGCGTTGCCCCCTTGGAGAAGCCCACGCTATGGGAAGGGAGGAGGGGGCCGATCGATTCGGCGAAGGCAACGGAAAGCAAGGTGACCCGTTCGGTGCCTCTTTTCTGCCCATGGGTCGGGGGGGGCTCTCCAAACCGCCAAGATTATGCAGCGCATCCATTGGAAACGTTGCCTTCGGGTGCTTAGGCAAAATCCCGTGCCCGCTGGAAAAGAAGCGGGGGCCGAACGACCGGCGGCGGCAGCGCGGACACCAGGACATCGTTCGGCCCCTTTCACCCCCAAAGGGCTCGGAAGCCTTCCGAAGTACCGATGGTATGAATCACCACCATTGGAAGCGCTGCCGTCGGGGGCTTGGAGGACCCCGCGCCGCAGGAAAGGACGGGGCCTTCCGAACAATTGAAACGCCGTCATTGGAAGCGTTACCCTCGGGGGCTTGGAGATCCCCGCGCCCGAGGGAAACGGACGACTCGGCGGGGGCAGACAGTAGGAGGGAGCCGAACGACCCAGCGGCGGCAGCACGGACAAAAGTACATCGTTCGGCCTCTTTCTTCGCGCCCTCCATGTCTTCGGGGGCCCTCCGAAGGACCGAATGTATGGAACGCCTCCCTCGGGGGCTTGAAACATCCCGTGCCGCAGGAGGGGAGGCGGGGGCCGATCGATCCCTGAGAGATCCTGCACACATCGTGTAAGGATCCCTTGGGCACCCCAATTGGACATCATAAGAATCTCTCCGTGCCCCATAAGAGTGTGTAAGGGTTCGTGTAAGGACCTCTCAGGGATTCCGCAAGGATCTTTCCAACAACTGTAAGGCCATCGCAAGGATTATGTAAGGATCTTCTGTGAGTCCTGCAAGCATCTCTCAGGGATCATGTGAGGATCTTTCAGGGATCCAGGGACAAGATATTTCAGGGATCCATTGAAGACCTTGCAGAGATCTTGTAACGGTCTCCCAAGGGTCCTGTAAAATTCTCGCACACAGTCTGTAGTAATGGTACAAGTATCCCGTAAAGATCTCGCAGGGATCCCGTAAGGATCTCCCAGAGATCCTGCAAGGATCTCTCAGGGATCATGTAAGATTCCAGAGGGATCCTGCAACAACGCAATATGGAAACGATTTGCAACAGCAAGACACATAGTATGGGAAATGGTAGAAACATAATTGGCTTGGAGGAGCAATGTTCTTACTCCAGAACCCTGCAATGTTCATAAGGCAATGAGCTAAGTGGCTTCGTTCCAGCTACTCGACGCTTCAACTGGGACGCGCTCGTACACAGCGTCACTGCGCTACCGAACCGCCCCGCCCTGCACGTACAAATTCCGTTTTCATCTTGACAAGTGCAACGTGAACGCAGCGGCTTACTTAGCGATCATATTCGTGTTCTGTAACCTGTCTGCTCAGACTGGCAGCGGTCGTCGGATTCCACTCCAAGTGCCCACGGGGCAGCCTCAGTTCTCGTTCTCCTTCTAGGGATGTGGAGGGAAAGGGGAAGGAGGACTGGACTTCCCCACTTCCCCCCTTCCTTTCTCCTCCAATCTCTCCCCACTTCCTCCTATGTCTCCCCCCTGTAATCTCTCAGTCTGTCCGCTTCTGACCGAGCAGGACATGAAGGCTCCTCCGAGACGTGAAAGAAACTTTGTGCCGTCGCGGCCCGACCCTCGACCTGCCAGCGCAGCCTCGTCCCCCCACGGCTCCAAGACCAGGCAGGACTTCGGGACCAACCGAAGCCTGGCATCGAAGAGCGCCATCCCGCCCAACTTGTCAGCTGTCGGCAGCGAACGCCAGGGCAAGCGTGGCCGAGACCCGGGCCGGGGCGCTCTCTTCCCCATGCCGATGTGGCTTGCTCTCTCTCTCTCTCTCTTTCTGTCTCTCTCTCTGCCTCTCTCTCTGTGTCTCTGCCTCTGAGGCGGTCCTGCCCCCGGGTCGGCGCGCCGGAATTGCCGGGCTCCTGCCCCCCCGGGTCGGCGCGCGGGAATTGCCGTCGAGCTCTGGCCACCGAGGGGCCCCCCCGCGTGGCTGGGGGGCCACGGCGAGGCAGCGGCGGTCCACGGGGAGTCGGCACAGGGCGGTGCGGCTCCTGCCAGGCATCCTGCGATATCTACCAGCCTGGAGCACATCCCCATCCCTGTGCTGGGCATCGCCCCCATCACGATGCCAATCTTAGGGATTCCCTCAGTTTTTGAGGGCGCCTCCCTAAGACTGCCATCGCCTCTCGGCGTGTCAATCTTAGGGATAGGGATAAGTTCGAGGCTGGTGAGAGATGATTCTCAGAATCCGCGGCCCCAGATGGAAGTCCCGAGCCCTTCCCCTCGGGCCTTGCTAATGGGGGGGGCAATAAAGTTGGGGGAGAGAATCGTGCACCTTCCGTGCCCCTTTTTGCTCCAGGGCGCTCTTTCAGGGAACACGAGGCGCAAATCTCTTCCGCCTCCCGGCCCCCGTTGCGCAACTCCCAGTCCCAGGGGCCCTTCTGCGTTCTGGGTCCGTTCTTGATGGCCCCGTGGTGCCCAGCAACGCGCCCAGGAGGCCGAAATCTATGAAAACCGCAGATCTTCAAAAATTCATATCGCTGGAGATCTGCGGAACTGCGCTGAGCGAGGGGCCATTGCAACGGCCTCCTAAAGAGGGATCCGAGTGGATGGGGTCGGAGGATCGCGTCGTATCCCCGATGCATCGCCAGCGGTGCATCGGCGACGTCGGCGTGGAGACAATCGGGCTCCACATCGAGCCGCACCAGCGACGCATCCGCGATACGGCGCGACCCTCCGACCCCGTCTGGGAGGCCTATACTGAGATCACTGCTGGGGTTACAAGGGGGATAGGGAGATTAGAAGTGGATGAAAGGTGGGTTATATCTGGCCTAACCTACCTTATGAGTGGCTCACATGTGACGCAAATGGTGCTTTTTGTTCTGAGCAGAACTCTCACTCAGCAGCTTGAGAAGTGACCCGCTTCAGCACTCGTGTGCACGTGACCTCCGAGCAGCGCTCGTAGACGACCTCAAATCGATGGTGGCTCCGATTGCTGAGCAACAGCGCCTCCTTGCCCGCGTTCCCTGCCCACTCCCGGTTCGACACGTACAGTATCCAGTCCACGCCCATCCGCCAGAGCGGCGACGCCACGAGGGTGTTGTAGTACCAGAGGTAATCGGCCATGACGAACTCGTGCCAGGAGTTCACCGCGATCAGGGCCCGGCTCGGGCGACGCGCCGCACCCCCTGTGGCAGCTGCCCCGGCCTCGACCTCCTCGCCGTGGGCCTCCGCGTAGAGGTGGGCGAAGAGGTCCCGGGCGTCCGGGTCCACGAAGTCCACGCGCAGGGGGGGCAGGCGCTCCGCCGGCGGCCCCGCGGCGAGGACCTCGGGCCAGAGGGCCCGGGCGGAGCCCGCGCGGCCCCAGCCCGCGGCGTCCATCGCGGCCTCGAGCCCCGCATCGGCCCAGTCTCGCTGCAGCACAGAATCTCCAGCTGTTCGGCCGAGGTACCACCGCTGCAGGTCGATGACCGAGCGGACGTCGAAGATGGTGTAGCTCCGCACGCTCACCCTGCCCCCCGCCAAATCGCGCATGCGCGGGCGTGCCTGGGCCAAGAGGCGCGGCATGCTGCCGAAGCCAGCGCCAACCTCGACGAGGTCGACCTCTTCTGCAGCTCCCGCGCGCCGCATCGTATCCAGCAGCAGCGTGAGATAGTAGACCCCGTCCATAAACTTCGTCGACGTGTAGTCCACATACTCCGCCCAGAGGATGCCCAGGCTTGGCTCCCCAACGGCCTTCAGGGACCCTGCCAGCTCTGCGTCAACGTCGTAGGCGCGCCGGAGCTGCTCCCCGTGGGGTTCCGTGGCGTCCGAGCTTCCCAGGACGGAGGGCGTGAAGTGGTGGAAGGCCCACAGCTCGGACATGTTTCCGTAGTATGCGCCGGACTCGGGCTCCGAGGCCCCGCGCAGCCGTCCGCCGCGCCCCAGCGCATGAGCCATCATCTCGAAGAGCGAGTTGCAGGCCTTGTTCCCGAAGACCCCCGTCGCCGCGCAGCAGCGGGCCCACTGCAGGTAGGGGTCCGCGCTCGTGGGCCGTGGGCCGCTGCCGGGAACGAACTGCTCCGTGCAGTTAAGCCCGAGGCCGTGAAACAGGACCTCGAAGTATGAGAGGGAGTGAGGTTCCCTGTTCAAGTGATCCCTGAACTCCTGCGTGGCTTTCTGAAAACCTGCCCACACAGCCTTCAAAGCTGAAACATCGTCTTCCCTGACATAGTTAAAAAGGTCGAAGAAGACGTTGCTGGCCTCCAGGTGCGCGCCCGCGCGAATGCGCTGGACGCCCGCTTCGATGCGCGCCTGAACTTCGGGAACGCAGCACGTGCTGTGCGTGAGTTCGCTGTTCCAGCACTGCGGATGACCTCGAACACCTTCTTGGTAGATCCTGCAGCACAGCTCGAAGGTGAAGGGAGTGCCTTCCTGCCAGCAGAGAGCGGCCATCTCACTGCCGGGCGCAGCGGCAGCTGCTGCTGCGACCACGGACACTGCGACCAGAGAAGTACAGCGAGAGAGCCTGGAGACAGCAATGCGGCCCTTGAACTCTGACGCGCACCATAGCATCTGGGCAGAGAGCTCAGAATGTTGGGGCAGAGAGTTCTCTAGCCTGCGACTTGGCACAGATCCTGTGGCGCGCCTCGCACATGTTCCGCCGCATGCACGGTCTGCAAATACTGCGCGTTACGAGCACACTGAAAAAATCTCCATGTTAGAAAACTGGAGCCAAAATCGCTACGGTGTGATGCAAGTAGTGTTGGGTGATTGGAGCACTCGCCTCAGTGGGCTCCACCGACATAATCCGCTCAGACTAGATCTGGCACCCCCCGAAACCGCTGAGGGCACCTGGTGCCCACTTGATAAGCTAGGTCAGGCCATAGATCACCCAGCTTAGCATACACTCCTAACCTCCCTACCCCCTCACCAACCCCAACCGTTCGGCGGCGACGATGAGGGCGAACAGCCCAGGGGCGGGCATTACACGCATTCGCCCGGGAGCCTCGTCGAAGACGTAGATCGGCGCCCTTGGATGGATCCGTGTACTGCTCCCCCCGGGGCTCTTCGCCCCTATCGTCGCCTCCGAACGGTGATCTCAGCAGACCCCTGCCCGCCCACCCCGCGCCTCCGCAGCGCGATGCCGCCGGCCGCCGCCGCGAGAGCGGCAGCCCGCACGAGCGACGGCGGGCCCGCCGCGCCCCACGCGGGCGGGGCCGCGGAGGGACCGCTCGGCGCCGGCGCGCAGGCTGCCGGAGGGCCCGCGGCGGGGCGCCCGCGCGGTGCCGAGGCCTCGGCGGGCCAGTGGGGCGGCGGCCCGGGGCCGCGGCTCCGACGCGTTGCCGCCCAGCCGCGGGCCGTTGCGCATACGATTCTAATATATATATATATATATATGTATACATATATATATATGTGTATATATATACACATGTATGTATGTACATGTATGTCTATATATATGTGTGTATGTATGTAGATACACTCACGTATACATGCATGCACGTGCATGTATAAACACACATATACATGTGAACATGAACATACACGCGTACACATACATGCGTATATCTACATGCCATTGTATATAGTTGTATATGCGTATGCGTATGGATGTGTATGCGTAGGTGTACACGTATATGTCTATGCCCATGCCTGTGTCTATGCCTGTGTCTATGTATATGCATATGCATATGTATATGTATATGCATGTGTATGTGTATGTGTAGCATCGCTCACCCTTCGCGCGCGCTCAATTTCGACTTGCCATGTGGCCAAGCGTACAGCGCGTCAGAAGGGCCGCGTCTGAATGATCGGGTCCTTGGCTTGGAAGCCCACGCGTTGGTGTCTCAAGTCCAACTGAGGCTTGGTACTCGCGGCAGTCATGGGCCCTCCGTGGGCAATCTTGCAACTCTTTTCGGGGCCATTTGGCCGAGGCCATCTTGGAGCCCCTCTTGCGCAAGACATGGGAATTGCAGGAAAGAAAAAAACATGAAGGAGGGAGGAAAAGGAGGAGGAGGAGGAGGAGAAGGGGAAGGAGGAGGAGGAGGAGAGAGAAAAGAAGGAGGGGGAAAGAGAACGGGAACAGGGAAACGGAGGAGGGTGGAGGGAGGAGAAGGCAGCAGAAAATGAAGAAGAGCAAGAGAGTCAGAAAGGAAGGAAGAAAGGAAGCAGAGGAGAGGAGGGAGGGGTGGGTGAGGAAATGGGGGAGGAGGCAGGAGGAAGAGAAAGAGGATGAGAAGAAGTGCGAGTGAGTGTTTGTATACCTTATTGAATGGAGGTTTCTTCGATTTGAAGCGCGCAAGAAATATCATGTAGTCTCTACGGGGGACGCTCGGGGGACTCATGGGGGCCACTTAGGCGTTTACAGTGAGTTCAAAACAATAGGGATTTTCAAAACAAGGAGTTGAAATATTCTGAGTTTCGCGTGTATATCCCAGCTCCGAGGCGTGGCAGAAAACACAACTAGGAATTTGAACAACTAGAAAAGGCGCAGCGACGCGGCATGAAACAAAACAAGGTCTTTGCTAGCAGGATGAAGCACCACGGAATGTTGTGGGTGCGCTCGGCATCGCACTCCTAGCTTTGCAACACATTACTGCGAGTGGCTTTGCCGGCGGTTTTGCGGGTGCCCGTGCTGGTTGTTGCGCTGCTGGTGGTTGTGCTGGTGGTTGCGCTGATGGTTGTGCTACTGGTTTTTCCTGATGGTTGTGCTTCTAGCTGTGCTGGTGGTGGTTGTGCTGGTGGTCACGCTGGTGGTTGTGCGGGTGGTTGTGCTGGTGGCTGCGCTGGTGGTGGTTGTGCCAGTGGTAATGCTGGTGCTCATGCTGGTGGTTGTGGTGGTTATGCTGGTGGTTGTGCTGGTTGTTGTGCGGGTGGTTGCGCATGTGAATGTTCGAGTGGTAGTGCTGGTGGTTGTGCTGGTGGTTGTGGTGGTTGTGCTGGTGGTTGTGCTGGTGGTTACGCTGCTGGTGGTTGCGTCGGTGGTTGTGCTTGTGGTTGTGCTGGCAATCGTGCTGGTGTTTGTGCCAGTGGTTGTGCTGGTAATCTTTCTGGTGGTTGCTGGTTGTCGTGCGGGTGGTTGAGCTTGTGGTTGCGATGTTGGTGGTTGGACTGGTGGTTGCGCTGGTGGTTGTGCTGGTGGTTGTGCCGGTTGTTGTACTGGTGTCTGTGCTGGTGGTCGTGCGGGTGGTTGTGCTGGTGGTTGAGCGGGTGGTGCTTGTGCGGGTGGTTGTGCGGGTAGTTGTGTTGGTGGTTGTGGTGGTGGTTGTGCTGGTTGTTGTGCGGGTGTTTGCGCTGGTGGTTGTGGTGGTGGTTGTGCTGGTGGTTGTGGTGGTTGTGCTGTCGGTTGTGCTGGTGGTTGTGGTTACGCTGCTGGTGGTTGCGTCGGTGGTTGTGCTGATGGTTGTGCTGGCAATCGTGCTGGTGGTTGTGCCGGTGGTTGTGCTGGTGATCTTGCTGGTGGTTGCTGGTTGTCGTGCGGGTGGTTGAGCTTGTGGTTGTTGTGCTGGTGTTTGTGCTGGTGGTTGTACTCGTGTCTGTGCTGGTGGTCGTGCGGGTAGTTGTGCTGGTGGTTGTGCGGGTGGTTGTGCTGGCGGTCGAGCTGGTGATTTTGCCTGTGGTGGTTGTGCGGGTGGTTGTGCTGGTGGTTGTGTTGGTTGTTGTGCTGGTGGTTGGACTGGTGGTTGTGCTGGTGTTTGTGCGAGTGGTTGTGCTGGTGGTTATGCTGGTGGCTGTGCCTGTGGTTGTGCTGGTGATCGTGCGGGTGGTCGCGCCGGTGGTGATGCTGGTGGCTCTGATGGTGGTGGTTGTGCTGTTGGTTGTGATGGTGGTTGTGCTGGTGGTTGCGGTGATGGTGGTTAAGCTGGTGGCTGTGGTGGTTGTTGTGATGGTGGTGATGCTGGTGGTAGTGCGTGTGGTTAAACGGGTGGTTGTGCAGGTGTTTGTTGTGCTGGTGATGTTGTGGTGGTGGTTATGCGGCTGCTTGTGCTGGTGGTTGTGCTGGTTGCGCTTGTGATTGCGCTGCTGGTGGTTGTGCTGGTGGTTGTGCTGGTGGTTGTGACGGTGGTGGCGTTCGTGGTGTTATGCGGGTGGTTGTGCACCAGCACAATCAGCACAACCACCAGCACAACCACCAGCACAACCACCAGCACAACCACCAGCATAACCACCAGCACAACCACGGACGCAACCACCAGCAGCAAAACGTCGAGCACAACCACCAGTCCAACCACCAGCACAACCACCAGCACAACCACTCCCACGACCACCGACGCAACCACCAGCAGCAAAACATCGAGCACACCCACCAGCACAACAACCAACACAACCACCAGCACAGCCACCTCCATCGCGACCACCAGCGCAACCACCAGCACAACCAGCCGCACAACCAGCAGCACACCAGCACGACCACCCGCACAACCACCAGCAGAATCACCAACACGACCGCCAGCACCGACAACGGCACAGCACCACCGCGACCCCGCACAACCGCCAACACAACCACCAACGCAACCACCGCCGCAACCACCCGCGCAAAAACCAGCACAACCACTAGCACAACCACCAGCAATACCCCCAGCACAACCACCAACGCAACCACCATCTCAACCACCAGCACGGTCACCCGCAAAGCCACCACCAACACAACCACCAGCACAACCACCCGCACAACCACCAACACAACCACCATCGCAAGTACCAGGACTCCCCAAACAGGATCAGGAGCGAGGACTTGCAACCCGAGAAGCTCAAACAGGGCTCGAAGACCACGCGAAACAAATTCGCTGGATAGCAGGTTCTCTGACAACACTGCTCTACATGCTTGGGGTCGGGCCGAGTAGACAGGATGTAGTTGTACACGTATAGCCCACCATCTGCCCGAACACCACCAGGTAAACTTACTTTTTATTATGGCTCTGGAGAGGAGGCCCACGACGACTCTTGGGGTAGGTTCGACGAGAGGAACTGCCCACAACCATAGAGGCCGCACGTACGCTGCAGCGAGATGTTCCCGTACACCACTTGCACCAGGAAATCTCTGGAGGATTTGAACAGATGGGTGCAATGTGTTCCAGCCCCCTCGGGGCCGAATAGGTGCACATGGGTTTCCAGGATCACAAACGAGCCCAAGATGCTCGATCTCATCTCCTTGACCTTTCACCCACATCTGGCGCTTCCCAGCATTCTCGGAGTAACCGATAGAATATTTGAACTGCTTCGCGATGGCTGAACCACGCTCCAATACTTCAAGGGCCTCAGGGCCCGTGGCAGTAAGGCTTCGATCATCCATGTAGGCCCAACCATAGGCCGGCGTGCAGCCCCAAGGAACAAGGGTAGCTACCATGGCCCCAGGGGCACTAGAGCCCCCCTGGGGGAGCCCACGAGAGACCTAGAGAGGCCCCGCAGGCTCGTTGTTGACACAACACACACGAGGCCCTCCCCGCGCGGCAAGGCAGCAATCGACGACAGCGTCAGGGGCACACTCCCGCTCAAGAGCAGCAGCCGCAACGCCATGATCTATGGAATCACACGCTTTGGATAAATCCATCTCAACACCACGATCGGCACCTTCAGCAAGCCAAGCAGACACAGCATGGATCACGGCAGCGTTGTTCTCGCAGGCAAACTGATTATCAGCAGCTTTAGGGGGAGCCGCTGCAAGAGCACTGGGCCAGCTGCGGACCGCAGCAGGAGCAACATATATTGGGCGACTCTCGTTCTCGTCTTTCTCGGGGATCCCGACGACACGCCAGGGAAAAAGCTTCTCTAGTAGCTCGCGTCCAGGGTTACCACGACACCGAACGAGATACTCTGTGGTTGCGACCCACACTTCATATGAATCGGAGATCGTGAAGGGGGCCACGACATGTGGGACTCTTACCACGACACGTATGACTCTTAACTCGCGGGCGGCCCATCCGTCATGGCCCGCAGCTCCGCGACATGTTTTGAAAGCGCTCATGAAAGTGTCGAAGCCAGGGACCCAACACTTAGGACACGTACTCTGCGGGAGCGGGCGGGTAGACGTATTTGCCCACTCCTTCGATGCCTGAACTTTCTGGGAGTAGACTCATAGTCAGCAGGGCACCAGCAAGCTTCCCACTCCTTCCTCATTCCCTCGGCGTCGAAACCAACGGCAGGGCTCGGGGCCTTGAAAACTGGCGCTGCCAGCTTGAAACCGTCAGCGAACCATTCCTTGAAATTTGCAGGCCAAGTCCGTCGTCTGGACTCGGCGGCTCTTCTTTCATGCTCTGTGATGGACCTATTCAGCGCCTCAAGTACTTGGC